AATAAGATAATTACCTAGTGCTTGTGGCTATAATGCATGCAAATCATTTATTCTTCATGACGATTCTTCAAAGACACTTAAAACTCCCATGTACTTATTTAGTATTTATATTTTTTACATTGCCTTTTTGCATTGATTGATTGTTTTGTAGGAAATACTGGAAGTGGAGGAAAGGTGCTATGGGAAAGTGGATAAAGCATAAACTGGTGATTTGGAGGATTGGAGTCTCATTCTGGTTCTGCAGCTACTCAGCATGGGCAGCTATTAGCTTCTTCAGTGCATCCTCTTCCTCCTCAGAAAAGATCTTTGGAGAGTCCCATCCAGTTTTCACATCTTACACCTTCACAAATCAGCAGTAGTAGTTACGTTGCAGAGAGGCAAGTGAGCAAACTAAAACTCTCAAGTACCTCCCCACAATAAACCAAAACCCAGCAAGCACTGTTCACCATACCATATATTATTGATATATACAGATATATCATACATATGTCACATATATACACACATCACACATACATACATGATATACATCACACACATACATGATATACATCACACACGATACATCATCTATATTTATATGATATATACATTATCCATAGGTACATCTATCTATCTATATTTGTCTCTATAGCTCATGTGCAATATCCACTAAGTATCAGACTTTATTTACATTGCAGGATACATAGTATCTACTAAGTGTCAGACTCTGCACTGTAGGAGATTCAGAGCAGAGATTCAAAGAAAGCATGGCTCATAAGCCAGACTCCTCCCTATGTTTGAGTCTTGGCCATGCCCCTTGCAAACTGAGTGACTTTAGTCATTTTACTTCAGCTCATTTCACCTCAATTTTGTTCTTTAATTGGGCACCAGTCATAGTTCCTACCTCATCATGCTGGCATTAGGATTAAATGAGATCATATGTAAAGAATACTCACATTAGTGTCTGGTACACTGTAAATACTCTACATCATCACTATCATCACCTAGAGCTCTATAAAATTGGGGTTTTGTCTCCTCTCCATTTTATATGACATCTGAAGGTCAAAGACAATAACTTGCCTGGTGCTATCATGGGTCCTAATAGAACTGTTCTGGCCAAAGTAGGCTGGTGCTGTTCTTCATGGTAGAAAGCTGTCACCAGGCAATGTGTCCCTTCTCTCTATACATGGCCAACTTTTTCTTTCAAGCTGACTCCAGCTTCAATCCAGCATCCAGTCCCACCCTCTGCAGGGAGGAGGGGTGTTTTCTTGTGTCCTTAAAGGTTAACTGAATGTGGGAAGGGGTAGCAGGAATGACATCACTGTCATATGACGTCACTGGCAAATGAAGGTGCAGAGGGAAATATAGAGACCATCTGCTAATGACTGCAGGAAAAGCTTAAGATTCTTTTGGAAAGAAGGTGGGTACTAAATCCCAGGTAAGTTGGAGGTGATTTATCATCTTATGATAAATAATTTAGTTTGGGTCTTAGTTCAAATCCTGGGAGATCAATCTTGGTAACCTTTGCAATTTCTTCTAAATGTAAGTTTCTAAGTCTGTGCATGATGACATGGTGCACCCAGACTGGCATTCTCACAGGATGCCGTGGTGGACACAGAGTTTGAAAACCTCATCAGGTGTGGTGTTCTCATTGAGGCCAGTGGTTCCCAATTGGCTACCTGTGAACCTGCTGGTCTGGGAAGTTGATTTTCTCCATTTGTGACAAAATGCAAAAAATAAAGACAATTATATTTGCATTAGTTTGTAACATTTTTATAAAACCCTATGGGTATAGTGCAATTGAGTTGTAACTCTAAACTAGATCTATGAAGAGAAATGAATCTTGTAAATTGTTTTGAAATGTTTCCATTCCACCAAATCCAGAAGCCTTAGAATTTCTAATGGGATCCAGGCTTCTACCTGGCAGAAATAGTACACCTGAGATCACTAGTCATGCTGCCTGGCTCATTGGGGAACAATCAATCCTGCTCTGCCACTTATTAATGTGTGACCTCAACTTATTTTACATCATTGGGACTCAGTGGCTTAAAACCATAGTGGTTTATTTCTTAGGTCATGCCCATTGCAGGTTCCCATTGCTTCACCACATCATCCTCTCTCAGGGCCACAAGCTGGAGGAGCCCCCATTCCACCTCTTGGAATCTTGCCAGTTGTCATGCTAAGAAGAGGAGAACACAGTGGGACATGTGCGGGATTTTAAAAGTTTCCATCTGGAAGTGGTGCATACTATTCCCTGCACATTTTATGACCATGGCAAATAATATGACCACATCTAACTTTAAGGAGCGCAGGAAGGTAAAGTCTTACAAAGAAGTAGCAGTAAGGTCAAATGTACTATCATTCACTTCATATTCCATTTCATTTATTTTAGCTCAGCATTTTTACTGATTAAGATAAATTTACATGTTGATTCTGGTATGAATTTTATCAGCTGCCAGAAATTTCAACTACATGGCATGTCCCTAAAAACTTCTGGTAGCTTGATAGTGACCCCCTGACTGGTGTGTTGTTAAACAGTTTTGAGTCCACTTAGCTGAATTTTCTCCATAAGGTGATCATAAGAAATTCTATCACTTTTTTTTTTCTAAAATCAAGATACATTATTGGTATATTTGGCCTTTGACTTGTCAATATAGGGCCTTTATCAAAAAAGGAAATGAGATGGGTCAGGATGAAGATTTGATATTCTGTAAGTTGGGAATAATAGAAAACAAAAGCCTGGATTACTAGCTTTCATTTAAACATAGAGGCAATATTATTTTAATCACTTTTGCTAATGTGACAGGGTAATGTATTAGTTGGACTTTTTCATTGAGTATTTGGGGATCTTGCAGATGGTTGAAAAGCTGTCAGTGAAGTACCAGATCAGCTTTCAGAATCTACAGAAAAGACCCATTTCTCTGAGAGTGATAATAGTAATAATAGTTGACACTTGCATGGCGCTTAGTACATGGATGTTTTGGGACCAGGACATGCAAGTCAATATGCTTTTTTTCCAGCGTTAAGCATGTTGCTCCACCTATAAGCTAAGGTGCAGGAAGATTATAGTCTTCCTTTTTAGCCTGGAAAAAATGAAAGGATCTTGTATTGTCTCTGCCATAATATGCACTTTAAAGATTAAAGACTAAGAGAATACTTTAAGAAAGGAAAATTATCTGAAACATGCAGTAACCAGCATCCAGAAAATAAAACCACTTTTAATTATCCTATATTTCAAAGTAATATGAAATACACAAACAAAGGGGTTGCTTGGGCAAAAGGATAATAAACTGAAATGTGATTTTAATTAACTCACAACCTTTTTACACTTCATCTTGCTTCATTTGTGTGTGTGTCTTGATGGAAGGGAATGAAGAGCACTATCCACTAGTCCAGGATTCAAGGTAAGAGAAGTTGGTTTCAGGAAAGAATGCAACTCCAGGGCCACAGAAACCACCTGAATGACGACACTAGTACCAGCAGAGGGTGCTGGCGTGGCACAAAATTAAGAATTTTCAAAAGGAAGAGGTCTTAGATTAAAAGACAGCAGGTGTGAAGAAAAATGTAGTAACTGTTTGTATCCACTTGGAGGTCTGAATTTTCTGCTTGCAGATCTGTCTGGTGTTCAGTGATTTCCTGCGATGGCCACATGAATTTTAGGTATCTCTTAAAGCAGAAAAGTGGGACATTTGCTTCTGTGTTTGAACAGGACAGGGAGAAGCCATGCAGTCTGCCTCCTGTTTCCACTGGAGGACTTTTAGCAGCCTCTGGCGTCTGTGACACCTACAGCATTAAGTTCACATGGAGTCCCTACTTTACTATTATTATTATTTTAAAAACAAAACAAGCTATTTTTGTGTTTACTAAAACAAAATTGGCCCAGATTGTCAATCCAGGGGAATCACAATTTCCTTTTTCATTTAGCCACCTTAAAAAGAAGGTAACAGGTACCTGGGAACCCACAGGTAGTAGAGATTGTGAAAGGTCAGGTGGAGGAGACAAGGCTGGCTGCGCTTTATTTAGCGGAGTGCAGCCTCCCTGGCGGTCGCAGCACCAGTCAGCCCAGCCAGGACGTGTAGAAGAGCCCCCTGAAGTAGGTCACAGCGAATGCTCCTTTTATACGGAGTCCCCTGTTGCGATTCCTTCCGCTAGCAGCGCCTCTGCCAACCTGGGCTTCTGAACTGTTCTTTCGGGCGTTCTGGACTGGGAGTCAATTGACCCACTGGATTCGAGTCCAGACTTTCTGGGCCTCAGTTTCCCCCTAGGTTCAACGACAGGGGTGGACAACCTAACACCGAGGCCTCTTCCCGCCCCGAGACGGCGAGGCCAGACATTCCTTAGTGGCGCGGCAGGCCCCGCGCTCTGGAAAGGGCCGACGAGAAGGAGACAGCTCGGTCAGCACCAAGGACAAGGGCCCGGGGTCCGCCTGGCTGACGCGAGGTCACTTCCAGGCGAGCCCGACTGCTGAGCAAGCGTCGGGCGCAGGGTTCCGTGGCCGGGCGGGAGGGCTGGGGTTGCCGGGAGAAGCGCTGGGGGAAGGGGAGCAGTCCCGGGGGATGAGGCAAGGCCCGGCCCCGCGGCGGTCTTGCAGATTCTGCGCCAAGAGGCCAAGGGTGGCTGCTGCGAGCGCGTCGCCCCTCCCTTGGGGTGCCCTGCCGCCTCCCGCGCCACGCCCAGCCCGGGCCTTGGGGCTCACCGGGTGCCTCTGGCTCTGGAGGCCCCTCAAAGCCCCCCCTCCCGCACGCGTGGACCTCTCCAGCCCCTTTCCTGCCCCAGCATCGCCCGGCTCCCTGTACCAGGGCTTCTTCTGGACACACCCGTGACTTCGACTCACTCCTGGGGTACGGGGTCCCGCGTCGCCTTTCTGCAACCCCCGCCCCAACTCCCTGCGGGGAAAGAGGCCCCACTCCCCAGTGCTCCCGAGCCTGAGCTGCCGGGCGCCCCGCCCCCCGCTCGCCCCGCCCCACCCCGCCCCGCAGGCCCCGCCCCGCCCCGCAGGCCCCGCCCGCCGTTGCCCGGGGAACCGCGGATCCCGCAGCTGCAGGAGGCGCCCGGCCCCGCGGAGCAGCTCTAGCCGCCGCCGCCGCTCTCGCAGCTCTCGCCGCCACTGCCACCGTCACCGCGTCCTGGCTCCGGCTCCCGTGCCCTCCCGGCCGGCCATGCAGCCCCGCCGCGCCCAGGCGCCCGGTGCGCAGCTGCTGCCCGCGCTGGCCCTGCTGCTGCTGCTGCTCAGCGCGGGGCCCCGAGGCAGCTCCCTGGCCAGCCCGGTGCCCGCCGCGCCCCTATCCGCGCCCGGGCCATGCGCCGCGCAGCCCTGCCGGAACGGGGGCGTGTGCACCCCGCGCCCTGAGCCAGACCTGCAGAACCCTGCCCCCGCCGGCGAGCCTGGCTACAGCTGCACCTGCCCCGCTGGGATCTCCGGCGCCAACTGCCAGGTGAGTGTAAGCGGCGGGCGCGGTGCGGGGCGCTGGTACGGGACCAGCAGTCTCTTCCCGCCGGCCCTGCTGCTGCTGCCGGACAGTGGGCACGCCTGACCCAGGCTTTCCCACTTCGGGAAGGCAATGGATCCAGTCTCTTGGCCCGCGTGGACGCGGACACCCGGGCCGACCCTGATTTCCTTACCCACCCTGGTTCCCGGGCGGGGCCAGCGGGACTCTCGGGGTGTGCCGCTCCGGGGCTCGGCGCTCCTCGCGCGGGGCTCCAGACGCTCCGGTTGGCCACCGAGTGGCGCGCCCCTTCCGGCCGGGCCGAGCCGAGAACCACTCGAGCGGTGTCCGCCTTGGCAGCGCGGGGGAGCCGGCTCCGAGCGTCGCCGGCGAGGTGTTCAATGTCCAGGTGGTCCACGCTTCCCGTCCCGCTGGACCCTGTGTGTGTAAAGGGTGTGCAGTGTGCGAGTCAAGTGATGGTGGGCCCCGTGCCAGGTGGTGGGGCACTTTCTTCTCTTCCTCCGCCCTTGTGGACTGTGACAAGGCAGCCAGAGGACGAGGAGGGCAGCTGCCTCTCCTCGGCCTGCGACCAGCCCTCTCTAAGCTTAGGAGCAATGCTGAAACAGTCGGAGGCATTCGAGGGGCCATTGTACGTGGCGCTGGCAGGGCCGTCCTTCCTGCCGTACGCTCCACGGGGCGCACGCTTGGGGCTGGCAGCCGGGACATGAGCAGGGCACCGGGAAGCCGCCAGAAAGCGTGGGGCGGTGCGAGGGATGGGACGATGGGATGTAGCCAGCAGCCGCCCGTGAATTTGGGGTTTCCAAGAGAATTTGGCAGAAAATAATATCTGGGGCTTTTACAAGTACGTTAAAGCTCGGTGAAACCTATTAACATCAATATTTTCAGTAGGCAATTTGGTAGGACTGTGTGTACAGGTAGAAAATCCCCAAACCTCTATTGCAGGGTAGGGCAAATAATGAATTCATCTGAAATGATTACTTTAAACCACATGAATATGGACGACATTTGGGATCAGATACTATCTTTCTTACATTTAGGGTGGAGGAGTGTGTTTCATATAAATTTGATAACAATGATTGAAGAGTTACTTTGAGAATGCTCGAATAGGTTCTTTCAGTGGGGAAAAAGGTTGCCCTTTCAATATGACACGTTTTACATTTTTTAGAGGTAAATGGGATTGAGAAGCTTGACCTTGACGGTCAGATTTTTTCGCATTTATCTAGAATCTTTTTATTTCCTTTAATAGCAAATTAGCAATTTGAATCTATCTTTTCAACATTGTGCTCTTCCTCTTTGTTTACTGGTTTCAATAAGCTTAGTTCCTTGAAGGGAGGTGATGAGGAGGAGGAAGAATTTGTGTGATGTGAGCATCAGGAGTAGGTTTGGGACATGATAGCTTCTTGGAGGAAATGCCTGTTGGAGCCATTCTAACCGTTCGAACAAAATCTTGCTTTTGCAAAAGTGAAAATAACTGCAAATCAAAAACCAGGGAACGGACTCATGCTAATTTTCCCTGTGGATTGATGATTTATATGACTTTTCCTGAAGAAATGAATTGTCTGAGGGTGTCCATTAAACTGCTGTTATATTTGCATGTCTGAATTTTATCCTTCAAAGAAATGATTGATTTGGACCTAGGGTTTAGGGGGAATGGATGGGAGAAGGTAGGTTAGAGTGCACATCGATTTTCATGAGAAGAAAGACTGGACACTGGGAATTTAACACAACTCTGAGATGGTTTTTGGTGACTCTAAAAATAGATATAAGATATCTTCAAGAAAAAGAGCTCTTTGGTGCTCCCTAAAGATGACTAACAGAGAAACATAAATATTTTGATTTGTCCTAAGCAGTGACTTGGTATATAATATAATTCATTCAGAAGAGTCATGAACTAATACATAACATTGCAGACCCAACTGGTTAAAAACAGATTCGGGTTTCTTTTGTAGCTCCCATTTGACGTAGGCTTAGCTATGTGAACACTACCCATCTGAGCAGAAGCAATAGGGCATGCCCTGGCATGCGAGTTGAAAAGAGCGCTGAAGTTACTGTAATCCTCATAGGAAAGCTTAGTGAACTTGGAACTTGATTGGACTTGGTTACCCAGAAAAGCTTACTGAGATGATTCAGGGCCTTATAATCCATAAAAATGGATTCCTGATGATTTTAATTTAATCGTTCATGATCTCGGAGTAAGACTTGCGACTCATTTTTCATGGGAACGGCAAAGAACACAAAAGACAATTTCAAAAGAGAAGTTAAACCTGGGGTGGTGGGGAGGGGAGGGGAGAGAGGGAGAGAGAAACTACATATACTCAATTACAGATAAGGAAAATGGATCTTAGCCACTGCAGACGATGTGGTTGCTGAAATAGAACCTCGTGCTCACTGGGTAAATTGGAAATGGAATTTTACCTGGGTGTGAAGAGGATCTTTTAAACAGAGCGTCACTCCTCCTCCTCCAAAGACAATAGTGTTAGCAATGGTAACATTAGAACCTAACCTTGAAGTTTCTTTTTGTGTGTGGAGAAATTTTAAGAAAATCATAAACTACAAATTGGGATTAAAATGGCTGTCTTTAGGCTTTTTTAAAAAAAGGCTGTCTTTAGCTTTTCTGTGGTTGGCTGATTGAGTTTGCATAAGTCAGTGGGGTCCAGGACATGCTTCTTTTGTCACCTGAGTCACGGGGACTCATAGGATTTGGGAATTGTAGGACCTGTGGGTTTGAAGTCAAGCTGAAGTTAAAACTGCTGGGTCTTATTTCCTCATCTTTAACGAGGGGATCTATGGGATCTACCTCATAGGATTCCTCGTGAAGACAGTGATTCCATTCCTTGATGTTTGTTTGCAGCTGACAGCTTTAAAGCCTCACTCTCCCTCTTCCTCTTTCATTCCACATCCAAACAAGCTGATAAGAAAGCCCAGGGGTTCCCTCCTTTGGTGCTGGCGGGAGGCTGAAACCATGCAAACTCCTGCCCTGTGCCATCCCAGCCCCAACCCCAAAGTGCAGCAAAACCCACAAGCCAGTCTCCTTTCCCTGCACTCAGAAGCCATTTAAACCCATTTGTGAGCTGCCTGCTCTCCTCAGAGAGCCCCATTATGTCAGCAGTAAACCTTTTTATATCGTGTGTGCGCGCGCGCGCACGTGCGCGTGTGTGCGCCATTTTCAGTCTCAGGGTCCACACCAAATTTGGGGTGGGTGTCCATCCTGTCTCTGTGGGATGTTCAAACTAAGGTTCTGAGAAGGATTAAATTAATTAAGTGCTGTTAAATCACTGAGCACCTGTGACATTTCTATAAATGTCACCTCTTCCCTTTCTTTTTAAACTTTCTGCACATATTTCAAATGCTCATTACCTTAACTAGATAGAACAAGTATCATCATCTCTTTTAGTCAAATGTAGGAAATGAAGCTCATTTTGAATGAGTGACTAATCCAAAGTCACATTTTGATACTGCCCTGAAAGGCCTCTAACACATGCAGACATCTTAAATCATGAGAAATTCAGCTGATCTTAAAACTGTATATGAAAATCTAATTTGTAGATAGATAATGATGATGATGGTAGCTCACCCTCCTTTTAAGCACTTGCCACATGCCAGCACTGTTCCAGCGACTTTGCAGATATAACTTGCTGATCCTTGCAATGTCCTATGAGCTGGGTGCTGTCCCCACCCCTATTTTATAGATGAAGTGCAGAAAAGTGAAGTGACTGTCCCAATGTTGCACTGCTAGTAAGTATGAGAACTGGAATTTGAGCCAGCCAGGCTGGCTTGATATGGGGCTATAGAATCTAAAGAGTGCCTAGATGAAAATCCAGCCCTGGACCTGTCATAGTTACAATAGGGAGCAAGAGCTGTAACCTCCTTGAGTTTTATCAGTAAAAAGGGGATGAAGTAATTTCCGAGTCCAGTCTTGTTCTCAGTGAGCTTGTACAAGTGTGCTCAGCTGGAATAAAAAGACAGAGAGGTGATAAAGGCACAGATTCTCCTTATGCCACATGTTAACCAGGAACCTTCACCGTAGAGTTAGAATTCTGGGTCCTAGCTGAAGTTCTTTTTACCATGGTGGCAAGCAAACGGACACTACATAAAAAAATGTTTCCGATAGGTCTGAAAAAACTTCAACTGATTAGAAATGGAGGCTGCTCTTGCTTGTTCTGATTCATTTGGGGAAGCAGGCAGGTATCAGAGGTGGCAGTGGCTGGGCCAATTTTTCTTTTGTGGTGAGTGGTACAGGAACTCCTTCTATTGGGCTGTCCATCAAAGAAGGGGCTATTTAAATTTGTATTACTTTGTTTTGTAAAGCTTATTTTATTTTCATAAAATAATTCTTTGCCTAATATTCAAGCAGTCAGATACCTGTTTGTGTTTTCATTACATGTTCCCTAAGGATCTTATCCTTCAGGATTATAATAACAATATGTTAATTTCTGCACTTGGAGTAAAAAGGGGACATGTATGGCTGCTTTTCATACAAGTTAATTTTACTTATTAAACTGATTTTATAATCCTTTCTTCTGGTTAACCATGCTAACTTGAAGCAATGGTCTGCTTCAGAGGAACCTATTTTTGATTGAGGTTTGCTAACAAACAGAAACAAAAGAATTTCTAGTTCTTTGCACTGCATCGGTCTTCGTTACTGGACTTTACACACACACAGACACACCCACACACAAACACACACAAACTCACATTGTAGTATGTACAAAATGTTGAATAGTAGCTGAGATGTAAAGAGACGTTGCTTCTTTCTCTGGCTTTTCTATGAACTTCTTGTGACCTTGGTGTGATTATCGAACATCCTTGAACCTCAATGTTCATATCTCTAAAATGGACTAACAATGCTTATCTTATTTTCTTTATAGAAATGATGTAACTCACAAATAAGAATGTAGTAAAGTTCTTTTTAAAAGTGTAAAGAAGTATGCAATAACCAAGTTTAAAACATTTTGAAAAAAGGTAGCATGTTGTGCAAATAAAAGATA